CACAATTTACAGAATGTGGCAAACTTTACAGGCATAACCGTATTCACACTGGAGAAAAACCTCACAAGTGTGAAGTTTGTGATAAAAGGTTTATACAAAGGAACCACCTAAAGAATCATGCTAAAACACACACTAAAGAGAAGCCTTACAAGTGTGAAGTTTGTGGTGCAGAGTTTACAAACAGGCTCAAACTTCACCAGCATAACCTCATTCATATAAAGCCTTACAAGTGTGAAGTTTGTGATGCAGAATTTACAGATAAGCGACAACTTCACACACATAGCCGTATTCATTTAGGAGAAAAACCTTACAAGTGTGAACTTTGTGATAAAAGGTTTACAAAAAGGAACCACCTAACAAGTCACAAAAGAATACACACTGGAGAAAAGCCTTTCAAATGTGAAATTTGTGGTTTAAGTTTTGCTTATAGTCGCACTCTTAAGAGTCACCAGAGTTTGCACAGTGGAGAAAATCCCTACATATGTGAAGATTGTGGTGCAACGTTTCCACAAATTTGTAAACTTAACAGGCATAAAGAGATTCATACAGATGAAAAACGTTACAAGTGTGAAGTTTGTGATAAAAGGTTTACTCTAAGGAGCTCCCTACATGGTCACAAAAAAACACATACTGGAGAAAAGCCTTACATGTGTGAAGTTTGTGGCGCAAAGTTTGTGGTAAGTCGCAAACTTGACATTCATAGACGCATTCATACAGGTGAAAAGCCTTACAAGTGTGAAGTTTGTGATAAAAGGTTTGCACAAAGTGGCTCCCTAAAGTCTCACAAAAGAACACACACTGGCGAAAAACCTTACCAGTGTGAAGTTTGCGGTAAAAGGTTTTCACAGCATGGCAGCCGAAACATTCACAAAATGATGCACACTGGAGAAAAGCCTTTCAAGTGTGAAGTTTGTGGTTCAAGGTTTACAACTATTGGCAGTTTAAAAACTCACAAAACAATACACACTGGAGAAAAGCATTTCAAGTGTGAAGTTTGTGGTTCAAAGTTTTCAACTAGTAGCAGTTTAAGGTCTCACAAAAGAAGACATACTGGAGAGAAACCTTACCAATGTGGAGTTTGCAGTAAATGGTTTGTACGGAATGGCGACCTGAATCGTCACAAAAGTAAACACTGCAGAGAAAAAACTTTCATCTGAGATCTTGGGGTGTAAGGTGTATGCAAACAGCGACAGTTTCAGGTTTAAACACAGACCAAATTGTATGCAGAAAAAGCGCTTTCTTGTAGTTGTAGTTTCTGGTGCGACGTTCGTGAACACAGTTTGTACTCTATGACAGCTTGGAAATCGTAGTTGTAACACATGGTAGAAATCTCAGAAAACCTGTATGGTATGATGTGTGTGAAGTTGGTGGTGAAGGGCTCACAGAGGACAACAGTCAACAGAGTCACTTAATAAAAGTGCATGCTGGAGAAAAACTTTACTTCAAGAACTTTCGACTTTTTCATCCTCTTTTGCGATTAGCACTTTGAGGTCACTTGTAGCAATAATGGCTAAAAATCATCCGTACCGGTCACCTGGCCCGAGAAGTCCGTTGCAGTCACTCTCCTGGCTGGGTGGCCAGATGAAGTATTTTGTACTGCTAGCTGTGTGTCTGCAAGGTGTTAAGTGTCGAAGGGAGATATGCAGTTTTCTGTGGTAGGCCCATCTGAGATCTGTAGATGAGGCAAGACTGGCCACAGTTTGTCTCTAGTCTCTTGCCTTTACCAGTCCACCACCACTAGTCAAGACGGCCATCGGTGCTATCGCGTTATATCGCCAGCCCTCTGTACTGTCTACTTCATGCTTATCGTAAGTTAGGCGGTATAACGATGTTTGTTTGTATTTCGAAGTTGTGGTAGCGTCATCATACCAAAGGACACTTGTCTCTTGGATGAAAGGCCTTTTTTTTTACCTTACCTGCCCCCATCATTTTATGCAAGAAAAATTCTGAAATTATGCCAACTGAACCCAAAAATGTGAAATTATGCGATTCTGTTACTTTTTAACAAAGAACGATAAAGGGAAATAATCAGAAATTTTATGCAAAAAATGATCATAGGCCTATTTTACTAAATTATGCAGGGTGCATAAAACCACAGGGACATCCTTACATGGCTTCTGGCAACCAAAAATTAGCATTATACTTATACTTACAGCAGTAGGTGGGTGGCGGGTGCTCTGGTGTGGTTTGCTCCTTCTTTCCCATCAAACATCTTTCGTCGTTATCTCTCCTCCTTCTTTTTTGTGTTTATTACTCTCTTGTAACACCTCTCTAATTCCTGGCACTCATATGACCTTATAATATTATGTTGCGAATGGCTTAAAAAAACAACAGGTTTTTTTCATAGAATACCATTTCTTCCATCTTAACCATCTTGTTATTACTATTAGTTTTTCATTTAGTATTCTTATGACCTTAATTAAAACATGCATCAGAACACTAAATGAGTTACAATCGAAATATGTATTGCTGTAGGCCTATAATTTACACTTTAATGTTTATAATATGATAACTGTTCATATCTATGTGTATTATGTGACTGTGAGCCTGTTTGTGAGCGCTACCATACGACATATTGCTGTCCCCGTAAGATTAGATTGATTGTGCGGCCGCGCCGCGGCCGTGTTTTTTAGCGTAATTCTGCAACATTTGCACAATTTTGGATTTCCCGCGTTTTTTCACTTTTTTTTTCTTTTTTTTTTTACACAAAACAATTAACTAACGCCTCGCCATGTGACTAAAGGGGAAGTAATCACCGTAATAAGTTTCATTTAAGTGAAAAGTTGGCTATTTTCCTTGTTAGAAGATCTTGGTTGTGGGTTGGGATTCTGTTCCTGAGCATGTTCAATTTTTCAATCCATCAAAAGTTGTTGTTCTCATGTCTGCTGATGTTTCATGTTTGACAGGCGTCCTTTGTTTCAGTAATGTGCCAGCATCAGAGGTCCAGATGTCCTTTTATTTTATTCTATTTTTTTTTTCATTTTTCTTTCCTCTTTAGATCTAGATCTAGAGAGATCTTGACCTACAGTTGAAAGTTACAGAGAATATATAATTTTTAGTTGTTGTTTTTTTCTGACTGATGGATATTGTTTTCTTTCCAAATACACAACAAATTACTGATACTGATATGTTCAGTTTTCTGTGCATAAAACATGAAAATCAGGAAAATTCGTGTTGAAAAGTGCAAAACATGTCGTGAATGGTGTTACGGTAACTTGCATAATTTTTGCATAATTTTGCTTTTTTGTGTGCATAATTTGGCCATCTAAATTTGCACAATTCTACAGGGTTGTATATAATAATGTATTATTATGATTCAGATCATGTGCACAGATACGTGTGTGGAAGACAGGATGTGTGAGGGAAGACTATGTGTTGTTATGAGTGTGCACATCTGCGTGCGTATGCGTGTGTTGCATGTTTTTGTTTGTGTGTGTGTGTGTGTTTGTGTGTGTGTGTGTGTGTGTGTGTGTGTGTGTGCTTGGTGAAACACCAAACCAATGTGCCTGGATTTGGACAATAAAGATATATATATACATATCTTATCTTATGTTATTTTTTTCTATAAGTTGAAAAAATGCTTGTGTTGCGAGTGCAGTAAAACTATTATGTCAACAAAATAAAATGTACTTACAGTACAGTTCCCCAGTCATATATATATATATTACTGTTTCAGTTTCAATAGCTTATGGGCTAGGGCTTTCTGGTACATATGATAATGTGTGTTTAAATAAGTAAGAGTTTTAATTAACAAAAGCATCCGTTGTACAAAATATATTTATTTTATAAGCTGTCCCCGTGGTTTTATGCACCCCACATAATTTAGCAAAATTTGATCATTTTTGGGGGGGATTTCTGATTATTTTCCTTTATCATTCTTTGTTAAAATTAACAGACTGAGAATCGCATTATTTCACATTTTTGGGCTCAGTTTGCATAATTTCGTAATTTTTTTTTTGCATAAAACCATGGGGACAGTAAAAGGCAGGTGGTTGGAGGGTGTCATTGGTGTGTCCTACTTCTTTACTTTCCCTCTCTTGTTTCTGTCTGTGTGGGTGGTTGGAGGGTGTCATTGGTGTGTCCTACTTCTTTACTTTCCCTCTCTTGTTTCTGTCTGTGTGGGTGGTTGAAGGGTGTCATTGGTGTGTCCTACTTCTTTACTTTCCCTCTCTTGTTTCTGTCTGTGTGGGTGGTTGGAGGGCGCCACTGGTAGGTTATACATCTTTACTTTCCCTGTGCTGTTTCTGTCTGTCTGTCTTACTTTTTCTCAGCACTGCATGACCATAATTGTGTGGATATTGCTTCCCTTTGTAGCCTACTCAAAATGAAAAAGGAGAATATACCCATATTTTTGGTTGTATATATTTTTTTTTATCGATCTTTCAGTCATTTTGGTCATATATATTCCAGGTACATAATGTGTATTCACAATTTTCTACATTTTGACATAGTCATGGGGGTTGTTTATCCAGTTATGTACTACGGTAGGTTCTAGGTAGTAAAAGCTTAAGGGAATCCAAATTAAATGGGAGTGGGAGAAAGAGAGAGAGAGAGAGAGAGAGAGGACCAAAAAACAACAACAGGGGAGCCAGAAAACGGAGAAAACATTTTAATGGCCAGACTAAAATGAAAGTAATAGGACTATCTGGTAATTTCAATCATTGTAAGTTCGCTAATGATGTAGACTTTATAAAACTATTTAATGAAAAAGTGTACCACCACATACAAGTTCATGACTAAATCAAATAAACACGACGTTGTTCTGCAGTTGTTGTTTTTTTTATACTGCTACAACTAGTACAACTGTAGACTAGCATTTTCATTTTCATTACGTTTTGGTTTCATCAATCAATGTATCCTCTATGTTCAGTTATTACGAGGAGTAATGAAAGTTATCTTTCGTCGTACGTTTAAAAGCTGCTGGAGTGAAATGAAAGAACAAGATTATATTATCATGTTGACTTTTTGTTGTCTGGTTGTACGAATCCTCTTTCTTTACTCAACTGCCAAGACTGCTACACACTCTTCACATCCGGTTTGTCCTTCTCACCTCTCACTACCCCCACTGTACTGTAGTGTAGACAACAAATTTACGCTTGAAACATGAAAATTGTTCCGTCTTTTTTACTTTGCCAATGTGTTTATTCAGTATTAGAAGAATAAGATCGATGTACCTTGCATTAGTATATAACATTTTGTGTAAAATAGAAACGAATCTAGATCTAGTTTATATCTAGAATCTAGTCTCTAGATCCAGATCTAGACACCGGGTCGACCGTACCTCTCGGGTGACCAGTGCCTTGTGACATGTTCTGTGTCCGAGCTGAGGAGAATCATGTTGTACAGTTGTGAGAATACAGTGGAATAGTAACTCAATCTTGAACAGATTCTTTGGCATACATTAGGGGATGTAATAATTGTACTAGACTCTAGGTTCATGTCTCGATTCTGAGCAATGGAGTAAATTTTAGGATCTTCGACCAGGTGGTTTGAAAGTTTTAAGGCAAGGGTCTTTATTGTCACCAACTTTTTGGTGACAGTGGTGCGGTATAAAACATGGCAGGTCTCTGTAGTCTGTAGTGCCGAGAACAAGTTTGATGAACAAAGAGACGAGTTGAATGTGGATGGAAAGGAGTCAGATGGAGGCAATGTTTTCCCCAGGACATATTACTGATGATGGTCTTACGAAGAAAGAAGAACAGTTATACAAATGTAGTGAAGCTTTCTGTACGCCCAAGGTTGATGAAGACCTAAAGCCCTATGTATTTCCTGTTGTAGTGAAAACTGAACCTAGACCTGGTGCTTC